GGGCTGAATTGCGATTTTCAGCATCTCAGTTTCAAAGAAACGCTCATTCAAACTTGCAAAAGCTGGCCAAAAGAAAAATATGCATTTGTTTGCTTTGAATAGACAGGAGAATGTTTGCTCATGACCGGTAAAAATGCAACTCGTGCCTCATGTATAACTGACCATTGCCGCCAAAACGTGGGCAAAGCACCGTCTTCCCTTAAGCAGCTACGAAAATAGGCTTTTCCTTGGTTTCTTACCGGGGCGAGTGACCGACGCCGCAACTACTTCCAAGCTGTCGGTTCTCCTGCTGATCAAATCGTTCAGTATTTTGGCTTTCCTCAAATACGAACACTCTGTCTGGACACTGAGCTCATTTGTATGCAGACAGGTCTGCACAGCCATAGAACACTGCTGCTGAATGGTCTGAGTTGAACAGGCAGACATCGTTTCGTTGAGTGTTTTCTCCTCACTGATCGGCTCCAACTCTTTTTCAATGTTCCCGCCGATGATTTGTATGGCCTCTTTTTTCTCGTCGTTTACGGGGTTGAGGCAGCCGTTCTTCACGATGCCGTTCTGAAACGTCGAATGCTTTTTGTCAAGATCATGAATAAGCTGAACGAGGCCCAGCGCCTCAGCCGCTTTGCTCACGTCTTTCACCGTGTTCGAAGCCGACCGATCCAGCTGCTTTACTTTCGAGTCAGTCAACAACCGGGGCATGAAGAATCTGGTCAGCCACGGCTGCTTTGACCAGCATTTCTTGATCAACTGGTCTTTGTCACAGGTTAGCGAGGCAGCAGCCGCTGCCAGGTATTCCTCGACCATTCGCTTCTTCATGCGGAAGATGAACCGCTCGATATTCTTCTCAATGACATTGATGGTCATGCTCACCAACGACAGACCGATTATGACAAAGCCAAAGTTCAGCACCAACAGCTTTGGGTGGCTGGGCAGCACGTCACCAAGGCCTATCGTGCTCAACGACACGAAAAAAAAGTAGAACGATGTAAAGTAGTTCCAATCTTCCCATATGCAAAACAGGCCGGCACAGAACAACATCCATAGAAAGGTAATGGTTAAGGCAAGCCATATGGGAACCGCGGTTACGTTTCCATCGTCCTTCTGCGGTGCCAAATATTTGAACTTTATTTTTGCATTGAGTATTTGCGTCCAGCCTTTGCTGATCCACTTGCCAAAAAGTTTTCCGAGATCGTTCAGGACTGTCAGGGCCAACGGGATGCCGACCAACGCGTACAGAATAGATAATATTTTGCCAGTTGTCGTTTTCGCCGTGATATTGCCATAACCTGAAAATCAGACATGCTCAAAACAGTGCACATTCGTAAAGAGAATATTAAATGGGCATACGACAAAAAATTTCAGCATTAACATAAGCAACA